AGATGTGGGGGTGGTAATTTTTGACCCATGTCTATATACGAATCTTGGGGTAAGATTTGGACATGAATTTCGACTAAAAAATCGGTGTTCAGATTTGAATGCCAGATTAATCTAGAGGGAAAACCATGAAGAAAAAGCCAAACTTCGTGAAAATCGGATGAGATTTGGCCGAGATATGGGGGTGGTAATTTTTGACCCATGTCTATATACGAATCTTGTGATAAGATTTGGACATGAATTTCGACTAAAAAATCGGTGTCGAGATTTGAATGCCACATTAATCTAGAGGGAAAACCATGAAGAAAAAGCCAAACTTCGTGAAAATCGGATGAGATTTGGCCGAGATATGGGGGTGGTAATTTTTGACCCATGTCTATATACGAATCTTGTGATAAGATTTGGACATGAATTTCGACTAAAAAATCGGTGTCGAGATTTGAATGCCACATTAATCTAGAGGGAAAACCATGAAGAAAAAGCCAAACTTCGTGAAAATCGGATGAGATTTGGCCGAGATATGGGGGTGGTAATTTTTGACCCATGTCTATATACGAATCTTGGGGTAAGATTTGGACATGAATTTGGACTAAAAAATCGGTGTTCAGATTTGAATGCCACAGTAATCTAGAGGGAAAACCATGAAGAAAAAGCCAAACTTCATGAAAATCGGATGAGATTTGGCCGAGATATGGGGGTGGTAATTTTTGACCCATGTCTATATACGAATCTTGGGGTAAGATTTGGACATGAATTTCGACTAAAAAATCGGTGTTCAGATTTGAATGCCAGATTAATCTAGAGGGAAAACCATGAAGAAAAAGCCAAACTTCGTGAAAATCGGATGAGATTTGGCCGAGATATGGGGATGGTATATATGCTTTATGCGGTCGGAGTTGCTTCCTTCTGCCTGTTACATACATTTGGCTTTCGCACAAATACAATATACCCTTATACCCATTTTTAATGGGTTCAGGGTATAAAAAGTATTATAATTATAAAAAAATAGAGTATTTCGATGTCTTATACATAGTATCTTATCTCTAATATCTTTCTACGAGCATAAGAATCGATCAACTGTTTGGTGTAGCTTTCTTTCAAATGCCCTTCACGCTGCATGACCTAGCCTAAATACCCAATTTTTAGGGTATTAAAACGCAGAATGATTCCTGCTCCATGACACAGCGCTCTAATTTGTGTGCATGTAATTATTTCAGGTAACTCGGCAGCGATTTGTTTTGTACCCCCTTCGCGCTGCTCGGCTATCTCGAGAGTTGGACGTAGACGTCGAGCTGAGACCCATTTTGGGCGGAGGGCAATGGCAACATATTAAAAGTAAGTGCCACTTAGGTTTTGCCTAAAACTTTGAGAACTTGCGCAAAAAAAAACTAAGTACCGAGCGAGTCAGTCACAGTCTGGCAGTGAAGTGACTCTACTTGACTCCATGCCACACCATTCCACTCGAGTTGGGCACATTTGTGGTTATGGGTCGACGACGTGGATCATTCGATGCTGGGCTGAGCACAGGGTGTTGGTGGTGGAAGGGGCATACTATGTGCAATGCAATTTCTAAAACGTGATTCGTGCAAAGACAAAATGCCAGCCTCAGTGGAGCACAACAAAAGACCATTAATATAATTTGTGTCTGGATATTGTGCCACTCTCCAAATTGCCAGTTTGCCCCAAAGACGCGCGCTCGAGAGTCCCTCAGTTCGTCCTAAACGATTATGAGGCGACGCAACTCGGAGGCGATTCCGCTGGCCGTTCCAAAGCTCAACTCGCTGCAAATCCCCCTCCCCCAGGCTTGCTGTTAAGCCAACATGCCACAGTTTTCTTATTGCATTGTTTTCAATGGGCTTCCCAGCTCCCAGTTCCCTGTGCCCAGTTCCCAGTTCCCTTCCAGCTTGCAATTTCGGATCAAATGGGCCGCTGACACGATCGTGTCGTCGCCCTCGGAATTATATTGTGGGCGTGTGTGGGCTTTTGCTTTTGTTTATTTGACGGAATCAATGAAAAGGCCACACAATTTACCCGATGTCGTTTCATTTGTATTGCCAAACATCCGAATTGCGCCTAATATGAACTTATGGCGCAGCAGCCCTCAGGGTCAGATAAATCAATATAGACAAATGAACTGGGAATAATCCCCAAGCATTCAAGTGCTAGCGTGAAGCTGTTAAACTGTTAAAGACAACTTTATGATAGAGTCAGGCGTACGATCGATTCCCCCCTTTCGTAACTCTGTCAATAGCCAAGCCACTTCTATTTAAACTATTTTTGCGATCTTTGCCATTTTAACTTTTTCCGATACTTAACTTTAAATAAAGTTAAGACTTTTGTTAAGACATAAAAATGCATTCTTAATAACTTACAACTTCGTCAAGACTGAAATAGGATTTTTCAAACATTTTTTAGCGTGGAGATTGAATTTATATTTTCATATTTTAATATAAAATATACAAAATCGGAATTCTGAAAGAAACTTTAATGTTTTCTTAAAAATATTAAAATTAAATATAAAATAGAAAAAACAATATTTATTAAAAGTAAATATTGCAATTTACTTTTATTATCTACATATATAGGTCTGCTTCTCTTTGCTCTTGAAACGCGCTTATCTGTTTAGCAGTTTCTTCCTTAACTGCAGTTCGAGGAACCTTTCAAATGAGGCAACAAATCAGCGAGAAGAACAAAACCAACTGCGGTTACCAGCGAATTTAGTCATAAACTAAGTGGCCACCAGTGTGGTTAGGGGAACAGCTCGGTTCTGGCCGAGCCTGGTCTGGTCTGGTCTGGTCGGGTTGGTAATATCATAAAGCAATGTCTTTATGAGACGCCTAGAGATGACTGCGCTGCCGCTTGCTGGACGGCGATCGCGTTTGATGATAATGAAGAGTTTGTGACAATGGGTTCTCACTTGGCGGTCCAGGGAGAATCCGGGGTAGCTAATGATGGGAACAACACAATCAGGCGAAGGAAAGTGTACGCTGGGGCCACACGCGCGTGCGCGGCCAGAACTTGGAATTGCGGTGCGGTGGCAGATTTGTGTGGCATGTTGCATGGCGTTTTTTTTTTTTTTTTGGAAATTTCAGTGCAGCGCACTTTCATTTTCAGTGCGCAGCGTCGCATAATTAATTGCGACCGAAAGTGGACAACAATTTGAGCAGCCGTCGCAGAAAGTAAAATGCGCGCCAAAGGAACAACGAACCTGTCCACCAGAAAATAAACCGGATCATCAATTGCAGGCCAAGACCTGGGAGCTGGGTGCTGCGATCTGCCAGCTGGGAGTTGGGGCATGAAGCTGGGCAACTTTCTTCTTGCTGCCGCTTCTGACACACTAAACTGACGCAACGTGCGGCAACAAGTGCAGAGCATTCGCCACATTTCTGACTGCCACATGGGACGCCCACGAGCCACCGTCTCGCGGCTTCCTGCCGAGAAAAAGTGGCAAAGCATAAATGAAAATTAAGCATGTTTATGGCCAAGTCAAGCATTGATCGGCGGGGCAGGGGCAGGGTCTGCTGCCTTTATGCCTCATTCACACGCTGCAACCGAGACGCACTCAAGGAGTGCTGCATCGAGAGGCGCGGGGGCAGGCGCAGGCAGACAGAACCAGTTTAATGGCGCATGAAATTTCACCGAAAAATCGGCGTATCTGCGTCTAGCTGAGGTGGCAACCGTTGCAACATATGCTGCCGACGTTGCGGGCGTTGCGGGCGTGCGGCAGGCGCTAGGCGGCAGGCGGGAGGCGTGGCACAGCAAGTTGATTTGCTTAAAAGAAATTCACTTTCCTTTGGTTTTTACGTTTTCAAACAAACGTGTGTTGCGGACAGCCAAAGGCAAAGAAGGTCACGTTGTTGTAGATCATGAGGATTCGACAAGACGCCACGCGGCTTTCGGCTTTCGGCTGGGAGCTTGGAGCTTGGCGCTGGAAGCTGGGATCTGGTCAAAGTCGGCTGGCTCTAAGACTAACAAACCCCAAAAAGCAAACACAATTGAATGCAACTCGCATTGGCAATGAGCGAAAAATACTTTTAATGAAAGTTGGCACTTTGCTTTTGGATGCCTCTTTTTATTATTTATATATATTTTTTTGCTCGTTTTGGGGGTATTTTATTTTTCTTTTCGTTTTTGATTTGTGGCAGGCGACATGGAAAATGACAAGGAAAATGCTCGCTTCATTGCATTGCGGCTCCGTTTGGCTGTGTCCGTGCTTTAAGCTGCTTCCCAGCAGTTGGCCAAAAGGTGTTTAACCGTTAACCAATTGACTGCAAGGCTGCGTCTTGATGTCCCGCTCTTTCATTGACCTCATGTTGATCTACTTTATGGCTAAGGTAGTGTGTCTCAAGCACGACTACCCAAAAGATCTAGCTTCATATTAGGGCTTAGGCAACTCCAACTCTATTTAACAACTGTCTTGCATATCGCAAATATACACAACAATTTTTGTAGATATATATAAATACTATATATAGGAAGATACGGATTTAGATCCTACATATATAAAGCTTAGCCTGTCTTTGCCAGGTATGTGCCAATTTTATGCTTGTCCATAAAATAAAAAGAATATATTAGTTACAGCTTGTAATGTAATTGGAATGTAATATCATTATGATTTCATATTATATATTATGACTAGCGGGTATTGCCCGGCCTTGCCCGTAGAACGTTTTGTGCTACAAATTCTAGGTATTTTCTTTCTAGCTTTTGTTTTGTGAAAAATTTGCAATACATCTCAAATGCATTTTCATATGGATACTTGTAAATGGAAATAATGTTAATATCAGCAACAAGATTCATGCAACCGCTTTCCGCCAATGTTTCACAGTTGCGGGTGGAATTTAGCACTGTTAATATACATTGTATAAGATTTTGATCTTTATAAATATTTTATATTTTGTATATTTAAATGAAGTCAAAAATAGTTTGCCCATGGAAGTATTTACAACAATTATGCAATTTTATTTTATAATACAAACACATTTTAAATTTAAAATCTAATGTCTGTTGCACTGTAGTTATTTTTATTTAACAATTGAACAAATATGCTGGCCTTGCAAGTTTGTAACAAGTATAAGAAGTCACCGTTTGCAGTGTATCAGCATGTTATAAGCGTGTTCCGTGTGTTAAATAATTTCGTTTATTCTTCGGGTGGTTCTTCCTCCTCATCGCCATAGGGACGATTGTTGTGCATTGCTGACCAACGTGGAACTTGGGACAGCGACCAAAACGGAAGAATCATCATTATCAGAATCGAGCCCCAACCGAAGATCAGCTTCTGACCCGTGGACATAGGGAAGCGCGGCGGGCCACAGATAGGCGCATGGCGGCGCACCTGCTGCAGTTGACCGGCATAGCCAACCCCAACTCCAGATGCAGATCCAGATCCACCTCCGGCACCCTTACTAAATGTTTCGCCGTGGGAAGTACAGACCCGTTTAATGGGCACAGTTAAAAGATTGCTCAACAGTGTAAAACTCATCTTGAATGCTGCAAAAGGAAAAAAAAACCCAAGAAAACTTTTGAAAAACGAAAATTTTAAGAAAAAATACTTACAGGAAAATTGAACAGCTGTGTTGAGTTAAATAAGACTATATGAACTGCTGACGAGTAAGTTAAGTGAAAACTGGGCGAGGCATAGTCGGAGCCTACTGTGATTTGGATATGAAAAAAAATCAGGAAATGTCCACAGGGTTCAAATGGGCAATGCGCAAAGGTTAAATAAGCATTAAAAATGCTAATGAAAGAGTTTCGGCTGCCGTCTGGGTATGTGGCCCGCGGGGGCTTTCTTTATTCCGTTTTGATTTGCGCCCAACAATGTTGCAAATAATAAAACAAAGACAAAATAAATATGAAAAAAGACGCTGTGAAATTATTACATTTGGCATTGCGTGCGCAAACAATTGACTTTTTTCGCCTCTCGCGACAGCTAACTGCGGCACGAGAAGTGATCCGATGATTACATAAAATTGCGAATTGGAATTCATAAGTGGCAGGGGGGTCGCCCCAATCCGTCGAAAGCCAGATTATACGCATGGAGGCTTAGCTGTCACTCAGCCGTAGTTTATAATACTCAATTCAATATTTAAATAAAGAAAAGTGTGGTTGCTGTATGGGGTAAATCACATCGACTACATTTATCGATAACTTTGCATACATTTTGAATGAAGTGCGCGCGCCAACCCAAGATATCGCCACACCACCACATTAATGTAACAGCTGTTGTCTCTAATATGTCTCTGTTAACGGAGAAGAGTAAACAGCTGTTAAATCAAATATCCCGTGTAAGTAGTTCCATTTCTTTCAAATTTAATTTACATGGTCCCAATTATTGCCCTACACAACTGCTTCAGCCAATATCACTCAGTAACAGGAAACGATTATCTTATATAGAGTTACAAATTAGTGCGCGCTGTTAACATAACATTTTTGGGTGCCCACAGCTGTGCTGTTAAGCTACAGCGGTGCACAGGCAAAACAAAACTAAACAATGCAGGAAGCAGACGCACATAAAGCGCGCATAACCCAAATCGAGGAGTTTATCAACGATGTGCTTAAAGAGGATCTCAAGCAGCTGGAGCACCATCTCAATCTTTTTAACGAGGAGATCATGGAGTATGTACAGTTAAAGAATACACTGCAAACCTTTGGCGACCATATGCCGGCTGGCTACAAAACGCAGGTGAACATTGGCAGCAACATTTTCATGCAGGCGCGCGTCAAGCAAATGGACAAAATCCTGGTTAACGTGGGCAAGGAGGTGTATCTGGAAATGAGCATGGACGAGGCGATACGCTTCAGTGATGTGCGCACCAAAATTCTAACCAAGCAGGCGGATGTGGTGCGCGAGGAGAGCGTCAAGAAGCGCTCCCAAATCAAGATGGCTCTCATAGCGATCAGCGAGCGGGAAAAGCTTCTGCAGCAACGGGATGACAGATAACGGGCGATGGCTTAGGTTAGTGTTAGAAAATGCTCTACATAATTCCTTAGTTGAATATTAATACATCGAGCTCTACAAGCCCAATTAGGGATTCCCCACTAAAATACAGCATATTAATGAATTTTCAAGTCAAGTCAAAAAGCTTTACACAAGCATATACTCTAGTTATTTTGTCTTATAAATTACAACTTTGAATTTACAGCTGTTGTCCTAATGTGATAAAAAAAAAACAATTACGTGAAATGAACCGATTTGAATGAATAAATATTCGCATTGAACCGCAAGTAGAAGGAATGAATAAATATATCCTACAGCAAGCTGGACGTTGACTTGGACCCACTCAGCTGCCAGGGCTTGGTCTGTTTGGCAGATGATGGTTGCTCGCCGCCCGCAACACATCGTTGATTGATGGACAGATCGGGCAGGGTGCCGGCATTAAGAGTTTTGCACTGTTCGGATAGACGCTCCGCGGTATTGCACATGAACCTCATACGGTTGGCCATCTGCGGGTTAAGGTGGCAAATCAATTGAATTAGACGTGGATAGGTGTGCACTCACATTATCGTGCACCTCCTGCCCGCTGAGGACAACACCATCCGACTGGGCGTAACCACCGGCCGCAAAGCGACTGTTGACCGCGACTTTGAAACGTCGCAACTCCACCTCGAGCAGACAGTAGTCGTTATATAGACGCCTGTATTCCTCGCACAGACGCTGGTTCTCCTCCAGCAATAGGCTGATATGCTCCTCGGCACGCTTGATGCACTGGCGCATTGCTTCATCCGATCTGATCTGCGCATCCTTCCACTTGCGGAACGATTCTATAATCTGTTGCTGCTGCTCGTTCACGTTCGTCTGCTGTCTGCAGTTGAGGATGGGGGATCAAACTGGTTTAGACTGGTGATGGATACGCTATCGGATCAACCGTACCGAATACATACTTCAGCTTGAGCTGCATCTGTTTGCATTCACAGGCAACGGCGCGCATTTGCTGTCGGATATCCTCGTTGGCTTGGCAAAGACGGTCCAGGGTTTCCTTGTGTTGGCGCTCCTCCTGCTTCAGATGGTTTTGCATGTCGCGGACGAGGCAACGCGATTTATCAAGCTCCGCCTGACGGCTTCTCAGCTGATCGCCCAGCGCCCGTTCCCGGCCACTGCGCTTGGCATCCTTCTCCTTAAGGGCGGTTACCTCTTCACGCAACAGATTTCGCTGTGTCAAGGTATTATTTTATAGTAACTCTTTTTTTGGTTTTTCTCCTCACCTCCGTTTTTAGCTCATCCTGTCGCTTCTCCAGCTGCACCATGCAGTCCTGCAGGTTTTGTACTTCGCGATCCGCTCGCCGCAGCTTCTTGGCCTGCTCCTCATAGTTATTCATGAGCTCTTCATTGTTTTGGCATAGCTTCTGCCGCTCTTCCTCCTGCGCTTTCAGTAAACTGGCAATTTCCAAAACTTTTTGAGACTGTTCAGCTGAAAGAATCGATTAGATCTGCCAGTTGCTTCGAATATATCACTAAAACTCACTATTCTTTTGTTTCAGTGCCGAAATTTCATCCTTGAGTCTGTTGGTCTCATTGAGATCGATGTAACCATTAAGCGTTGAGCGCAGCTGCTCGATTTGCTGTTCACGATCGAACAATGCATTCTGTAGACTTTGTATTTGACAAACTAGTCTTTCGTTCTGCAAAAGGAAACATGGAAGAATTCAAACAACAAAGAATTAATCTGTGCATGCGTGAATGCTAAAGGATTTTAAGGCGAAAGTGTTCAAAAAGGATTAAAGGAATTTAATAAAGGAGATCATAATAAAACAAAGTTAAAGGATTTGCAGCTAGCCTATCCATAATCAATCATAGATTCAGCTTTCTTCGACGTATCCGTGCGGACATATGGGTTAAGTCTGCTTTTGTACAAAAGCTATCCTACCGATTCATCCCATAGAGCTATTTTATGCATTATTCAGACGATTCAGATCATAAGTCAGGAATATGGTAAGTGGGCACGAATGATTTAATACCTATGTACCCTTAGAACCCCTTTTATACTACCGACTATTCCTATAGGACCCAAAAAATAAAGTTCTACCATTTGTTAGGGTCTTACATATATGCTTGGATATACTTGTGGAGCTCGTAGTTGCCGAGATTGATGGAGATATCTTGACAGAGAACTATATATATAATTTTTAGACCGATTCTATATATAAAACCATATCATATGATAGGCCAACGAAACTTTTTCATACAAGATCTTTTTATTTTGCAACGGAGATACGATCCTGAATCCTGATCATGAATAAGACTTAACTCATTTCTAAAGAGCATGATAAAACTTGCAATTGTTGATTGGTTGGTCCAAATTCCTTCAAAAACAAAATGTAATACTAGAAATTTATTTTTCTCCGATCGTTAGGAAGGTCTTCGCAAAGAGAAACCACTTTGCATAGAAACAGACGGACAGTAGAACGTGACTATATTGACATGGTTACGGGATAAATATATAGAATGAATGCTAGCAACAAAGCTAGATACGATCTATAAAACTAAAAAGTAAAAAAAAAGTAGCTTCTATTCTTATTAACGATTCTTTATAATTCCCAACTTGTAGCTCGAGTTCATTTGCGCCGATTCGTGTCGGTTCCTCGTAGTAGCTCTGCTCCGATTCCCTGGACGTAAGCTCATTTTGTTGTTGTTGCTGCTGCTGTTGTTGTTGTTGTTTCACTTGTTCCGTGAGCTCTTCCAGATCGCGCTGAAACTCCTCAATTATGCTCAGGTAGTTGTCGCGGGTGGCCTGAAGTATCTGCGATTGCGTCTGGCAGTGGAGCAGCGTGTGCTCCAGCTGCTGTCGATGCGGACAATCCGCGCCAATGTCAGTCTGCAGTCGAGAAAGCGATACGTATAACAATCATATTCAGAGTTCGAGAGCCTCAGCCTTACCATCTCAATTGCCAGATGTCAGACGGGCCCCAGACACAGTCGCTTTATGTGTTTGTTTATGTTATTCTTTGGATTGTTTCTGGTGTCGAATGATGTCGGGCTTTCGTGTCGATATCAAATTGCCGTTCGTTCAAAATATTTATAAACGCCACGTATTTTGCCTTCATTACCATTTCATTTCATTCCAATAATATTGCTATTAAAACTTTCGTCACGGAAATGAAGGCAAATCCACTTTCGACCTTGTGGGCGGCAGCCCAAAAAGGTGGCAAAGTTTCAGGTTTCAAAGTTTCTATTCTTTAGCACTTTCACCCGCGTCTCCCAGCCCCCAATTATTTTATAGTTATGTTTTATTATATTTTGCCAATGCCTTTGACTGTTTGACATGGATTTCCAAATAAACTACTTGCATTCGGTATTAAATTATATCGTGAGCCCCAACTTGGTCGAGCTCTTAAGTTGGCTGGTAGCGAATGCATGGCTGCGCGCACTTAAAACACTTTTAAATGTCTATTATGTGGGCCGACATTTATGATTCTTAATTCCATGTGAAAATCGATTTCAGACGTTTTTATAGCGGTTGAGCTTCCATTAAACTAGTTTGTCTTTAAAGTTGAGGAAAAGTCTTTCACGACTTGCCTCTAATACTTTACAAATATTGTCTATGTACGAATATAATATCAAGATAAATATTTGTTGTTTACGAACTATTTCATATACTCTCGTTGGTTTTTGATCAAGGCAGCAAGACGGGTTTCAACTAAACTGGTTGAGACTAATAAAGATGAACTTTTTTAAAGTATAATATATTTACATTAACTCGAATCTATAAAATTGTGAAACATATTTTGAAAAATTGCAACTATTTTTGTAAGATTTCATAAATATCAGGTTTGAGTCGAACTGGTTTGAGCCCGGAATCCGATTATGTTCAATTTGTGAATCGGTTTAGTTGCGGAATTCGTATATTATATTTTCGATGTACCGAACCTTAAATGAAAGTAGGTGAATAAAAAAGTCTCGAGCCTAAACCAGATGCGAACCACTCTTTTTAAACAATTTAGTTCAATAGAAGGTTTCATATTTTTGTAAATATTATTTGCCTGTTGCATTTTCAGAAAAAAACCTGATCATTAGCTCTTCTATAAATGTCTGGAGCAATATAAGCCAAGGTACGAATACAAAACTTGGTTCGTAGCAGGTTGACGGCCTCGAGTCGAACCGCCTAACAATTACAAGTTGGTGCTGAAGAAATTTATAGATACATTTGGGACATGTGATATTTTAATAAACTTTCGTGTTGCTGTCCAAGCAATCCGCACACAATTTGCACGCCTCACACTTTTCGAGCACTTTTCATTTGTAGCTTTGCTTTTGGCTGCTTGGGGAAAACAATTTGCACTTTTGGCCAACTTTTCAGTTGGTTGGCTCGTAGGATAAACTTTGTTAATTGCACACGTATCCGTTCGCCATCAGCGACGCGTCCTGCTCGTAGTCTTGCCACCTGGTAAATATTATCGCCTCGCCCAGACATTTCACGGCGGGCGTCAACTTCGTGGCCGCAGGAGTCGACGACGATGACGAGAAGTCGTCGTCCTGGCCTGTATGTGGGTGCAGCTAATTAAGGCACGTGAACTGTTTGTTTTATGTCTTGATTTTGTGCAGCGCGACGAGGAGAAGCATTGCCAGCAACGCGGCTGATTATTATATTTGCCGTTTTCATATTTCCAACTGTGTTTCCGTTTCGATATTCAGTTCCACGACGGGTTTGATTTGTTTCACGCGAATAAACAGCAACGTTGACGTTGGACGCGGACTACTCCGGCGACCATTCGGCTGTCTATCTGCCCAGGGGCTACACCCCTCGCAGGAGCCTCGCCCTCCTGGCATGCTCATCGATATGCATATCAGGGCTCGCAGCTCGCGTGTCGATTGTGGGCAAATAAATAACACGAAACCTATTTCAGCTTCTAGGAGCTGGGCGCCCCACCCGCCAGAATTGCAGTTGAACTCGGCGGAGTTTCAAGCGATTTGTATTTGTCCAATGTAAACAAAGAATAAGTCTTCGTTTCGACAGTTTCGAGCCTTTTTCCCACAACAGTTTGAGTACATAAATCAAACGACTTTAATGGTAATATAGTTCAACTACTGTCGGGAACTGCAGCATATGTACATGGTAATACATATATATATAACAATGGGGAATGCAATTTTATTGCATATAACATTTATAGGGCACCCGAGGGTCCTTTAATAAATTAAACAAATCATTGTTCGGGAGGGATCATTATGCGGG